GTGGGTGAACAGTGCAACGCCAATATTGGCGTTGCACTGTTCACCCGCAAGCAAATGGAGGATTTTTTGGCATTCGGCTGGAGCGAAGGAATGACGGCAAACGCTCGTTTGGCGTTCGGTTGGAGATGCCCTTAGTAAGCAATATTGAACCAACTTGTCAACAAAGAATTAATTCAACCACATAAAAGAATCCTAAAAAAAACTTAATTAAGAGTTTATATGAGACGGCTGCAGCTTTTTATATAAGTGATTATAAAACTGATGTTGAGAAAATATTTTTTTCAAAGATGTTATAGAAAACAACTTCCTACCATAAAAAATTATTGAAAGCAAAAAAAAAAAAATCAATGATTTTTTAAATAAAAATTGTGATTATGATTTGAAAAACAAAGCATTAAGGCTTCATTTGGGACAACTTTAAATCACTATTTTTTCTTACTTTTAAGATATTTTTTCACTAAAAAATAGCTTTACAAAATAGTAAGAAAGTCGTCCCAAACAAAGCCTAAGTCTTTATCATATGTTTCACTTTAATTTATAATTTAGAAAATGATATTCAGCTTTTGCATATTTTTATTTATTTTTAGGATCTCTTTGAGAAGTTTGTAGCGTTTCATAATGGTGATTTAAAAATTATTATGAGAAAAGTATTTTTTTGAAAGCATGACTATTATAAATATATTTTAAATAAAATAGATATTTTTTACAATTATCACACAACACATTGTAAAAAGTAGCTAGATGCCACAAAACTTCACAAAAATAATAAAAAAAATAGTTAAATAGAATTATATTGACAATCTAATAAGTAAAAGAAATTATAGTTAAATAGAATTATAATTATAATCTTAAAAATAAAATAACGAAAAAAAATACTCTAAAAGACTCTTAGTATTAAGCTCTTATGTTAATCTAAATGCCACAAAAATCGCCTATCGTGTAAAGTTAACAACCACACTAATTAATATTATTAAGAGGGAGTTAATAATCCCCACAATAAAGCGTACGATAAAAACTGCAACCATCCATTTAAAAATAATATCGGTGGTAGGCCGATTTTCCAACAGTTGATTTGTACCTTCCACCAAAGTTCAGTCGCTAATCGAACTCGCAATGATTGTTTTTGTTATGTATGGAGAATATTTTAATTTTATTATTTAATTGGCTGAAGTAAACGATACTTCTAATCATTGTGTAGAGCGTTTTCACACCAACGGTCTATACTGTTAGATTTGAAGTCCTTATTCATATTGGCTTGTTAATAAAATATATATTTATTAATAATTTTTTATAAATGAGTTAATTTTTTTATGAAAATACGTAAAAATCAAAATTTTGTGATGAAAACAATATTAATATAGATTATTAGAGATTTCTTTTTTGTATGATATGATATTTGGGTGAAGTAATAGTTGAAAATTAGGATGTCGTGGTTACATGGAGTTCATAAAAGTAGGGGTGTCAAAATTTGACTTTACCCGGGACCTATCCAGAAAATTTCAGGTTCGGAGTTTGTGTTTGAGTTTTCGGCTTGTTTGCAAAATCGGGTTGGGTTCCGGTTGACTCGAAAACCCGAACCCAACCTGGGTTGACCAGGGAAAATGGCTGTCGCGTCTCGTGTGTGTCGCATGACCTCGTCTGTCATCTTGTCGAGTCCGCTGTCCGCGCTCACATATCACGTGATCTGGTGATTGCATATGTCGTCTAGTCGAGTTGCAGCAGTCGTCGTGCCACATCTTGTACGACCTAGGTTTTAGACCTCCAAGCGCCAGTCGGTCAGAGTCGTCCATCTTGCCACATCCCGCACATCCGCATGACTAACTGGTCGACATCGACCCCATGCCCTTAGGCCGTGCTAGCACAGCCTCAGGCTCTCAGCCCGCCTCACCTACCAGCCGCCATGCCACATCTCGAAGCCTGTAGCGCGAAGCCTAGTACCATAACCCACCTGTTAGCATCCGGGTTTGCGGGTCGAGTTGGGTCAACCCGATAACCCATGTGGGTCGGGTCTGGGTTGGGAAGACTAAATCGTTTGCAAAGCCGGATCGGGTTCAAGTTGACCCCGTTTGGATCCGGGTCAGACCGGGTTGGACCCGAACTCGACTCATTGACCTGTTTTGACACATCTTTATAAAAGCTTCTTGTCATAAAAAATGGAGGATAGAATATTTGATTTGGTTTTTATTGATAATTTACACTTATTTATCATATTTTCATACGCAACAAAAATTCATTTTACAGAAACAAAATTCAAAAAAACAATTCCTCTTTTAATATCAAAGAGTTTCTGACTTTTCAAAAATCATTGAGTTTATTGAAATGAAATATTCGAAGTTACTAATTTATAAGGTATATTATAATTGGGTCAATCAGAACATATTCCAGAAATAATCAAATTAAAAAAATAATTTGCTCTGTTCTAAAAAATTCATTCGATCATCATCAATCTCGAGATAATTAAAAAAAATGATAAATTTATTTTCATTCATTTTATCTCATCACAAAAATTCTTAAATTAATTCTACAGTTCATAATCAATGTTACTTTTTAAACTCATCCAAACAAATGATTAAGTGTTTTAAATTCGCCATTTTGAAAATCTAAACAGCCAAATGGGCACCAAAATTCCTCATTAAAGTTTCGTTTGAAAAATTTATAAAGTAATTTGGGTGGGTTGGATTAAGCTATCCAATATAATAAATGTTAGAGGTCCAATACTATAAGCGACACTAACAAGTACAACCAGAATAGAAAGAAAAAAATATATTATAACTGCGATTTCAGCCGGATCTGCACATTTCAGCTTTTAAATAATTGCAGTGACAGGTAGGAAGAGCAGCGCCTGCACCTGCTGAAGGAGAGGAAAGAGAGAGCATTGAGCGCCATGGGAGAAGTTTCAGTTCTTTCTCCTCTTTCAGGCCACCAGCAGGAATCCAGCTTCAATTCCAACCAAGGATGGCAAGGTAGAAATCTATTTTTCTTTCTTTAAATTCTGCTCTAGCTCATGAAAGCATCATTTGTAAAAAAATTTCTATTTGAACTTAATTCTGCTCTCCATGTCTTTGTTGATGCGCATATTTCAGAAAACTTTCTAAGCTTTCCAGAAAATTACTATTTGAGTAAGTATATAGTATATAAGATGATCCACTGGAGCGCTAGACTTTTCTTCCTGTTTTCTTATAAGAAGTATTATCAATAGAAGAGAACATTATTTTACTCTAAAAATAGCAAGAAAGACTGAGTTTTGTTTTGAATAGATAAATTTACATACTTTGTATGTATTCAATATGCAAAGATTTTTGTTGTAAGGATTGAGGCTTCATTTGGGACGATTTTTTTACTGCTTCTTAGAGAAGTTGAAAATCAGTGTGTTGTGAAAATCAGCTTAACTGATGAATTGAACCATTTGCAGTTGAGGAGAATGATCATCCCATTGAAGAGGTGAGGCTAACGGTGGATCCTACAGACAACCCGAATATCCCAGCACTGACGTTTCGCACTTGGCTGATTGGTGTGATATCATGTGTGCTTCTCTCCTTTGCAAATATGTTCTTTGCTTACAGAACAAACCAACTAAGCATAGGACCAGTCTGCATACAAATCATTGCACTTCCAATAGGAAGATTTCTTGCAACAGCACTCCCAAAGAAAGAAATAAAATTTCCCTTCATAAACTGGTCATTCTCGCTAAATCCGGGGCCTTTTTCGATGAAGGAGCATTGTTTAATCACCATCTTTGCAAGTGCTGGTGCAGGAGGCCTCTATGCGATTCATATAGTAACTATAGTCAAGGCATTCTATCATAGAAAGATCCATCCCTTGGCTGCCTTTCTATTGGCACAAACCACACAGGTGAGGAAGAAATTTTGTGTCAGAAATTCTTTTTTGCAGTTATAATTGATATGTCACAAAAAATTGATTTTGATCGGGCACGATTCTCATTGCAATATAGAAGGTTGAGTTTTCAAAAATTAAAATTGGGATCATACGATCTCCAATTTCAACAAGCTTATAGTCAAATTAAAATTTGGATCATTTGATCTCCAATTTCAGCAAGCTTATAATCAAATTGAACATCTCAACGAGACCAACCCAACGACATTAAATTTGATCCAATCCGAGCCCAAATCAAGGGTCCAAAGAATGCTTGGATGCTAGAAAGCATTAATTGGATGGCCAAATGACATCCGAAAATGACATGTTTATAGTCAAATCGAGCAACTCGACGAGTAGAGCCCAACGAGCCCAAGATTATTCAATTCTGACATCATTAAACATTTAAATGCTTGAAAAACTCTCCAAAATCAAGGGAATCAAGATAGACCATCCGATAGAACACTCCTAATATGCTCTTAATCTTCTCAATATTTACTAACCATGCCACTCCCAGAAAAACTATAAACAGAACCCCCCCCCCCCTTCTATATGAGAGGGGAGGAAGAAAATGAGAAAACTTGGAGAGCTCCCTTGCCGTTGACCACCACCGTATTTATTCTCGGCCACTGACCATCATTGGACTTCTGCTCGTTTGCCGGCTGCCACCAAATCTCTTATCGGCCACCGATCATAACAAGACTTCTGTCCATTTTCCGACTATCGCCGGAACTCTTCCTGATTCTATCGATGATGGATCTCCTCCCAAATATCATTGTCTCTCGACTACAGTCTTTCCAACCCATCCCCATCTGCAGACTATGGTCTCTCCGACCAAAATATTTTGACTACGGCTTCCTCGATTATTGTTGCTCGACTACGGTTCTTCTGACCACCACACCTGCATACGGTCTTTCTGACCTTCGTCGCTCTCTAACTACGGTCCTTTAGACCACAATCACCCGACTATGGTCGTTTCTACCTTTGTCGCCTGCTACTATAGTGCTTTCAACTACCATCACCTGATTACGATCTTTCTTACCTCCATCCCCCTCCGACCGACCATCGTTGCCCGGCTATGGTATCTTTGACCACCATCCTCTAACTACTGTTTCTCCAAACACCGTTTCCTAACTACTATCTCTCCGACCACCATCACTCGACTAAGGTCATGCTAACCATTGACGCCCGACTATGATCTTTCCGACCTCCGTCGCCCACCTACTATGATTTGCCCAACTAGTTTCGCTTGACTACGATCATTCCAACTTTTGTCGTATACCAACTACGATCTCTTCTACCACCATTGCCCGACTACAATGTCTTCGACCACCATTTCCCGACTACAGTCTCTCTGACCACGGTTGCCCCACTACGATCTTTCCAACATCTGCTGCCCGCCAAGTACAATCATTTTGACCACCATCACCTAAATGCGATCTCTCTGACCACCATCACCCGACTATAGTATTTCCATCTTGAATCACCCGCCGACTATGGTCTCTTCGACCACCATCTCCAAACTATGATCTCCCCAACTTTCGTTGCCTGATTACTGTCCTTATGATCACCGTCGACGCTCGACTATGGTCATTTCGACCTATATCACTCGCTAACTATGGTCCTATTGACCAAACAAACATGTCAATATTGATTCTTCCAACTCCCACAATATAATTCCCTTTATATGATGTATATTGGCTACATCAAGCCAAGACCTTCCCCCCAAAGAAGGGCCTCATTTGTAATCAACTGCAAATACTGGTGGATTCATTCAAGTTGGACAAGACCCCCCTTAGTTTTCCCCCTTTTTCAGGGGTTTCCTCATAAAAATTCTTGTGTCTCATACCCCTACTCATTTATCTGTCTGCGTGCTCGATATCGTACAAAGCTAGGACACTAAACTATATATATCTCTACTGCCATGAATTTTCCAAGACGAAACAATAATCATGTGAGGAAAAAGAGAGGTTTTGAACATATTATTAATCCAGCTTTGCTTAAAGCGTTTGTTTAAGGAAGGAAATTATATGAGGATATATTGATACTACTAAATCTATTACATAATAATACTAAATTATTAGACATTAATTCATAATATTTTTTCTATCATGATTATACTTGTGAATGTAATAGTTTAGTGCATTTATCAAATAATTTGGTTGTATTGTCTAATAATTTAAATATAATAAGAGGTATCATGTGACATATGAAATCAACGACGTTTAATTAAAACGACTTCATTTTAATACGAAAATAGTTGGATATCCTTATAAATAACTGAATCAATTTTGATCTTAAAACTCGCAGTTACTTGGCTTCGGTTGGGCTGGCATTTACAGAAAGTACTTGGTTGAATCTCCATATATGTGGTGGCCAGCAAATCTTGTTCAAGTCTCTCTTTTCAAGTATTACTTCTTGGAATTTTAAGCTACAATTCTATTTTAGAAATTTCTTCATTAAGGATATTATACAAAATATCACTCTAAATGCTCAAACCATCACTTTTACAGAGCATTGCATCTAGAGGAGAAAAGAAAGAAGGGAGCCATGACAAGATTTCAGTTCTTCATAGTGGTCTTTATCACAAGCTTTGCATATTATTCCATCCCAGGCTTCATCTTCCCAGCAATCTCCACAATTTCTATCTTATGCTTAATCTTCAAGAAATCAATCGCCATGCAACAAATTGGATCTGGACTGAAAGGTCTTGGTCTTGGATCATTTGGAATTGATTGGTCGACGGTCGCCGGTTTTCTCGGAAGCCCATTGGCCACACCTGCATCAGCAATCTTCAACATAATGTTTGGCTTTTTAATAGGAGTTTATGTGATAATCCCAACTGGCTATTGGACTAATACTTACAATGCCAAACGATTCCCTATGGTTTCATCCCATGTCTTTGATTACACTGGTCATAGCTACAACACTACAAGGATTATAAATGATAAGACTTTCACTTTAAATCCAGAAGAAGAGGAAAGTTACAGCAAAATAAACCTAAGTATTACCTTTACTTTGCTCTATGGCACAAGCTTTGCAATTCTGACATCCTCAATCATGCATGTTGCTCTCCATCATGGAAAGTATGTTATTTAATTACCTTTTGACATCAGTCGACATGCTGAGATGCATATATAAATTTATTTCTATTATTAAATTTATCAGGACTATTTGGAAGATGTGGAAAGAAACTAAAGAATATTCTAAGGCAAAAATAGAAGATGTTCATACAAGATTAATGAAGAGAAATTATGCGCCGGTACCTCAATATTGGTTCTATGTTCTCTTAGTTTTGGTCATTGGACTCTCCATATTCACTTGTGAAGGGTTCAATAGGCAACTGCAGCTTCCATGGTGGGGGGTATTATTCGCTTGCATCTTAGCTCTACTCTTCACCTTGCCAATTGGAGTTATCTTGGCAACCACCAATATGGTAATATAATAATAATAATAATATATAAGAAGCTTTTCCCATCAATCTATTGTGTAGAATACTTAATTTTCTTCTTATGTGCAGGCACCTGGTCTAAATGTCCTTACAGAGTACATCTTTGGTCTAATATTACCAGGAAATCCTATGGCAAATGTGACATTCAAAACATATGGAACTATAAGCATGAGTCAGGCACTTACACTTCTTAGTGATCTAAACCTAGGACATTACATGAAAATCCCCCCAAAGTCCATGTTCATTGTCCAGGTAACTTCCTAAAGCTATAGGAATCTCACACTAAAGATTTGAATGCTCCCAAAATGAATAAATTATTATATTTAAAAGATAGAAATGTGCACAAAATAAGTAACTAAGAAATCATGTACCATGTTCCCTCTTCAATGATCAACTTCAGTAACATAATTTTCTATGAATAACAAAAAAACAATAAGGCTGATAAATGTTCCCTGCTGCTTTTTTAGTTAAAAATGCATAGGGCTGTCAAAAAAAGCTCAAACTTTGATGTTTGATCATATTCATTATCACATAAGCTTATTTATTTAAAAAGCTAAGTACAAATATGGCCTTACTTGATTGTGTTCAGCTAAAAGCTAGTTTGCTATTGTCTGCATATGTGTTTATGTGCATATGAGTACATATATATGAACAGATTATGCATAATCACACTTATAGATTTTTATTTATATGAACATATTTATATCTATGATGCCCCAACACTTCTTCTCAAAGAGACATGCAGTGATCGACACGTATCTGACACAACACGCATCCGACATTTCTCTGACACGTGTCGGTCACGTCGAAAACGTGTCCAATTAAAAAATAATAAATAAAAATTGGACACGCATGTCCCACATGCGTATCTTAAATATTTTATGAATTTTTAAAAATATAATTTCTTGTATTTAAAATTTTCATCGAATATTCTCATTTTCATTTCTCTTTAGCAGTGAAGGTATTTTCATCTCCTCTCTTGATTACTAATAAACGGCATCGACACCCGACTCTTAACATCTTAATATAAATCATTTTAAGCACAAATTCTAGTTAAATGATTTAGTATTTCTAAATTATTTTTAAAATTATACTTATTTAATTTTTATACACTATTTTTAAAATATAAAAGCTATAATACCGTGTCCAACCCGTGTCCGTGTTCTATATTTTCAATAACTGACGTGTCCCGTTTCCGTATTGTAACGTATTCGTGTCGTCGTGTCGTCGTGTCGTCGTGTCCGTGTCTGTGCATCATAGATTTATATATATGTGGAAATATGTATATTCCATAATTTATAAATGACTTTCAAGAAGACTTTATGTTAGTGAATAGCTTATATTTAGCTAGATAAGTGAGCAAGCCAAACACAAACATAAAATCTGCTAAACATAATTTAGCTAAATGGTGTACATCCAAATTATATATTCTTTATTCATAGTTCATTAACATATTTTTATATGTTTTTTTTTTTGGTGGTTATAATGATAGTTGACAGGTACTATGATAGCATCTTCTATTTACTTCGGAACAGCTTGGTTTCTTCTTGACACAGTAAAGTATATATGCGATCCAACAAAACTTCCTGAAGGGAGCCCATGGACTTGCCCCAATGATGATGTCTTCTATAACGCATCAATAATTTGGGGGCTCGTTGGTCCAATGAGAATGTTTGGCAAACTTGGGCACTATTCAGCTCTGAACTTCTTCTTCCTAATAGGTTTATTGTTACCCATTCTCTTCTGGTATCTATCAAAAGTCTTCCCAAGGAACAAATTGCTTAGTTATATCCATATACCCTTGATCATAGCGGGAATAGGTGCGCTTCTTCCTACACACTCTGTCAACTATATCATGTGGGGATCAGTGGGCATTTTCTTCAATCATTTTATTTATAAAAGGTATAAAGAGTGGTGGGCAAGGCACACCTATGTCATGTCAGCAGCTTTAGATGCCGGGGTAGCTTTCATGGGAATATTCATCTTCTTTGCTTTGCAATTTAATAATATCAGTGGGATAGATTGGTGGGGAGGTGTTGCAGATGATTATTGCCCACTTGCTAGTTGTCCAACAGCTCCCGAAGTGGTAATTGAAGGTTGTTCGACTCTAAAGTAGTTGAGTTTGTTAAAATTTTCATAGTTGCTTTCTCCAAAGTCTTTCAATTATTGTGTACATTAAATGTGTGGTTTACAAGTCATGTTTTAGTGAATGAATAATAATGAAATAGTTAACTTAATTGCTGTAATGTGGATAGCTGATGTGATGTTCAAAGTTTTCATGGCTCGAGAACTCTTTAACCATTATATGTTGGAGTCAAAATTGTCCCTATATAAAACTAGAATTTTACTAACAAAGATGGCTAAGAAATGAGAGAAAATACTAGAAAAATATATATAGAGTAAGAAGCTCTTGCGTTTTGCCATATTACTTTAAATTACCAAACTTACACAAATAATTTGATAGGTTAAGCTCACCCTCTTGCCTCCTATTCATAGGTTGGGCTCAAGGCACAAAGCTACAAGTAAGATTATGTGAAACTATTTATCCAACTTCACTTTTGTATGTAAAACTTAAATTTATAATTACACATGCCTTGGTGAATTTTGATATTAAGCACGACATATGTTATTTCAATTTATATTTAGTTCTATGATTCTCTTATTTCAAATTTGTTTTGCAAGATTTTTAGTTTTCACCAACAAGCCATCAATATAAACTTCAATATTTCTTCCTTTTTTGGCTCTATAAAAATACAGTCTATCTTTATTTGATAAATTGCGCATATATTTTTTTAGGTAAAACGGCATGATGTTACTCTTTGTATTTAACAAGCAAGATAGATATTTACTCTTTGTAAAAGAGCAATATTTCTTCCTTTTTTTTCTCTATAAAAATATGGTCTATCTTCATTAACCTAAAAAAAGTTATTAGAAATAAGTTGTTTATTTGCTCAAATTAAGGGGGTTAAAGAGATTATCTATTTATTATGAATCTAATGAAGTGATGATTTGTAGAATATGCAGTAAGGCTTCTCTTGGGACAGCTTTTTTACTACTTGAAGCAGATTTGTAGTAAAAAATTTTAATTTTTGTGCTAAAAAGCTATTTTAAAAAGCTAGAAAACTGCAATCCCAAACAAAGCCTAAATCTTTCTCAAAAATATTAATTTATTCAATTTTCTTCGAAGCCTTGAGTTCAGCTTCTCTTTGAACATCAAATTGTAAGACTTCATCTTTAATCTCCATAAAAGCCTTTAGATAGCATGCGTTTACTTGTTGTGTGTGGATGTTCCTATATGAAAATTCACACTAATATGGCAATTTAAACATCGATATTAGTCCTACGACAAACAATTAAATCAATGATCGATCAACGTTAGTAATGGTAATTGTAATGGTTTTAACAATTGGAGCTCTTGATGAAGTGATCAAGTTAGACTGTCCAAAATTTCTAGAAGCTTTCACTCTGGCTTCTTCAAATTTTTTGGAACCATCCGAAATAATGGGAAATTTGTTAGCAATAACCTGATCATTTCATTCCTCTATTTTGCCTTGTTAGCTCTTCTCCAAAGCTCATCCTAGATAAATTCCTTCAACTTCAAAGAGTAAAATAGTTTTTTAACCAAATTTAGAGGGTTTGCTTTCCATTGTATCATAACCATGGTCCTTATAAAAATCACTAAAACGTCCCTATCAAATTGAAATCGTATGGTCGAATAGAAGTTGAGTGACTAATTTACTATTGCATTCTTCAACATTGATATGATTATTGACAAATTTAAGTAACTCGGCCAAAGTCCTTGATTACTACAAAATCAAGTGCATGTCTAGGGTCCTCTCAGATCTTTCATAAGTGTGGCTTGTACCACAACTTAATTCAAATCGTTAACATCTAAGATCTCCCATTAAAATTGAATAATAAAATTTCCGAAGAAGTCACCTTTTTTGGCCTCATTTTTTAATTTTAGAATGTCTTGGTGTCTTTGACAACCTACAAACTAGGTGAAGAATAAGGATGTAAATGAGTCAAATACGAGAGACGTTGATGTGTTCATATTTGGCTCATTCGTTTTTTTTTTATTTGATTAATGTTCAAAATTATTTGTAAGTATCATGTTCATTTTCTAATTATTAAAACTTGAACGAGATTGTTCGGCCTGTGTTCCACTTGAATTTGATATGATCAAAGGGATCGATGCAAAATAAACATTATGATCAATTAGATTCATATTCCCTTCAAACAAGTTCATGTCTTGAATTTTAAACTTTGTGGAGTATTGTGCCTGACAATTTTGTTACAAAATACATTCAACGATTATGGTTGATGCTTCTCGGCTCTTGAAGTTAAAGGTATTTTATCATGACTTTTTGAAAGTAGGTCTTGTTAATTTCCATAGTCAACGTCAATTCTCTCAAATTAAGTGGTAGTCGATGAATTATAGAATTTCAAGATCCTCAAGAATTTCTACGAGTTAATTGGTTCTTAGAATATACTCCAAACTCAACTAATCATTTTGGTCAATTGTTATCATTTGGTTAAGTGGTTCCTAGAACATTACAATCAAGCTCTCTCTGTCATCTTATTATTCCAATCTTAGCTTCTAATCGTTGGCATATATATTCATGCTTACTACAGCCAAAAGGAGCTGTATCCAAGCTTGTTTATATGCTACACGATAATCATTTTGATACAAATGATAACAAAATAAGAGAGAAGAGAAGAAAGAGAATATACAATGACAATACTTCGACAAATTTATGTTATTTTGTTTACAAATTTCACCTGAGTTCAATTGCAGGCTTTGGCTAGCCTTAGGGCCGAGTATTCTCAGTTGAATGGGCATGAACAACCAGTATTTTGTAGTGAGTTTGGCAGGCACCATAGTGACTTTCGTTACTTTATTATTCTTGGAGGGTGGGCAAGCCCTAAACCTAGTTCTTATGAATCAACTAGATTGATTAAGGCTTCATTTGAGAAAACTTTTTTACTGTTTTTTAAGACAATTTTTAAATATGCATTCCTCCATGGTGCATTGTTAGCTCTTCTCCAAAGCTTATCGTAGATAAACTCATTCAACTTCAAAAATCAAATGAGTTTTTTAACCTAATTTAGGTGTCAGCTTTCATTGTCTTAATAAAAATCATAATATTTTTTAGGGATCTTATGCTTGCGCACAAATCCTCGTTGGAGCGGGTAAATAAAATCAATCTTTGTCAAAGATGGCCTCATAACTTCAACCATTGACATTCTGAAAAGAGTGAAGGCTGGATATTTATAAGGTAAAATCTTTTCTCATTAAAATTTCTTACATTTTTTTCTTGTCACTTGATATGATTTTCTAGGCTTTGTAAATGCTAGGGGTGCAATTATTGTTGTGGATGATGACAATATAGTTTATTAGCTGATTTCAAATTATTTATGGAGTGACCTTAGTATGCTTTAGAAAATCCCTTAAAACTTCCTATCAGATTGAAATCAGATGATCAAATAAAAGTGAGGGACTAATTTACTATTGCATTCGTGAACGTTGATATGATTTTTAACAAATTTAAGCAACTCGAACAAGTTTTCTGGTACTACAGACTCAAGTGCATGTCTACGGCTCTGGTACTACAGACTCAAGTGCATGTCTGTGATCCTCATCTCAGGCCTTTAATAAGCGTGGCTTGTGCCAAAAATTAATTCAAATTGTTAACCTCTAAGATCTCGCGTTAAAATTAAATAAGAAAATTTATCAACAAGGCACCTACTTCGCCCTCATTTTTAACATTATTTGACAATTTATTAATGGCTTTGACAACTTACAAACAACATGAAGATTAAGGGTGTAAATGAGTTGAATACGAGCAAGATTGATAAGTGTTATGTTTAGATTTTTTTTTTTTTAGTTTGACTAATGTTCAGAATTATTTGTAGTATCATGTTCAAGTTCTAATTGCTCAAACTTAAACAAGCTTGTGTTCCACTCAAATTTGTTCAAATTATTAAAAAAGAAATTTAATTTTAATTATTTTAATAAAAAGTTAGCATAGAGATCAATAAATATTTAGTATAAGTTCAAAGCATATTAATATATATTTATATTTTTTAAAGAATAAATAAGTTATGGATGATGCTTTTTGGCTTTTGAAGTTTGAGGTATTTCAACATGGCATTTTGAAAGCTAGGTCTTGTTAATTACCAATGTCAATGTCAATGCTCTCAAATTCAGTGGTTGTCGATGAATTATGGTGTTTCAAGATCATCCTAGTAAATTTCTTCAAGTATAGCGATTCTTAGAACATGCTCCAAATCTCATTGAATCATTTTAGTCAGTTTTTTCTCCATTTGATTAATTTGTATAGTAGCGATAAAATCTTAGTTTTCCATTATAATCAATCTCTCGCTATCATCTTATCATTCTAATCTTAGCTTCTAGTCCTTTGCATGTATGCTCACTACTGCTAAATGATGTTGGATTCAAACTTTTCCATATGGAACAAGAGAATCATTCTGATTTGAATGATTAAGAAATAAGAGACAAGAGCAGAAAGAAAGATAATAAACAACAATAAGTTCAAGGATCTCACTATAAAGTAAAATTCTTATGCAAAAGATTTGATATGTCGAGTTGGGCAAATTATTAGGTCCGGTCACCGGATCTATTTCTAGGTCCGGACATCCACTAAAAATTTACCATGTGAACTACGCTTTGAGTCAAAAAAGCGCAGGTAGAGTGTAGTCAAAAAAGTGCAGTCAAAGAGCACAGTTAAAAAAGCAATCCACGTGACAAGTTTTAATTGGATGTCCGAATCTAGAAATAGGTCTGATGACCGGACCTAATAAATTTCCGTCGAGTTGACCCTCTAATCCTCTAGCTTGTGTCAAAGCACAGCAATGCAACATTTAAGGCAATTGCAAGGTTTAGAAAATGTTCACTAGAAAATGAACTTAGCCTAGTTCATGTGAATTAACTAGATTGATTAAATCTAGTCTATGCGATATTTTGGTGTATAACATGTGCTAGTGTTAATTTCATTGAGAAACTTTGTTCCCTCTATAATTATCATTTCAATTGATCTGAAACTTAAAATATTGATATGTAACAGTTCCCTTGTAATTTATCATACCATAGTGAACTATGCAAGTTTTATGATAATTTATCAAGAATAATTATGTCTTACTAAAAACACATATTAGACATACAATCGACTAATAAACATTGAACTAACTATCAGTCATTGTTCAAAAAAAAAAATGAACTTCATTTGTTAGTGCTTAAAATCTCTAGAATTTTTTTTTTTTTTTTTTTACTTCTAGACATCTAGAAAATTCTCTTTTATTTGTAACATTTTATATCAAGTCAAATTTGAGATCAATACATATGCCTCTTATATCCTAAAAATCTTCCCCATCTTTTTTCTTTAACAAAATGATACCATAACAATGATGAAATGATAAAGGGTTCCCTTTAAAATTTCAAAGCTCATAAGAAAATATTTACAATAAGTGGAGCAACAAGATAAAAATCCTACTAAAAAGTTCCAAAAAAATCTCCAATGCAACTATGAACAAAGCATGAGAGTTTTGAACTGGTAAGAAGTGAGTTGATGAAATGTATAAAGGAAAAAAAAATCATCTTCAAAAACTTGAGTTAAGTTTAAACTTATATTCATGAAAAAATTCAAATACAATTTCTATTATTTTTAAGAATATTTGGTATTACAATCATTTTGAAAAGCAATTACAAAAATTATTTTGAAAATATAAAGAAAATTTTGTATAACTCAAATGCAATTTTTAAGTTATTAGTCTCACCATTCAAAAAATAAAAATTTTACAATTTACAAGTATCGAGCTCTTAGTAATTAAACCTGTGATTAAAAATAAAGGATGACCCACCGGGCTTAGCTTGGTTGATGGGCGAGCACGATTGAAAACCCCTCAACCCATGTTTGAATCCCCTCTCAAACGGCTCGCCTCCTTTGAGGGGAGTAGCAAAGCGTGGACCCAACATCTGTTTGTTGGCTTCGCTAGATTCTGCCGGATGATTAGTTACGCCGTCATGCGCCTCATATGAGTGTGGCAACAGGTAGCCGCCCCGGCCATGATCTCGTAAAATGTTATTTTCTTGATATCCTTCAAATGTTTCATTCTCTTTTTTTAAGGTTAAGATATATTCTACAATGATTAATTTAGTCAATCTGAATGCCGAAAAATTGTCAAATCACTTTGGTATTATGGTCATCTGTGCCAATTTTGAATAAATAATCACATGAAAATGCTGAACATATGGATCAAAAGACCAGGAGATGTTTAATTACAGCACTTCAATTTTGAAGAGATTTTTATTCACATGTAAAAAAAAAGGAACTATATACACTGTATTGTATATTCCATTGATCAAATCATCAAAGAATGGGGTTTACAAATGACTTGCATCATATACACCATTTCCATACAAAGTACATCAACAGGAGAAGGCACCTTCTATTAAGATAGCGAGCACGAGATCAGCCATGGAGAAACCTTTTACACGACTCTAATCTTTGTCGCGCACGATGAATGCTCGGAGAGTGCCGGCGCAGTCCATGCCACTCATCTGAGCGACCGGGCATCGGCATGTCAAGTCTGGATAACTGCTCATGCAGGGCTACCATATTAAGAAGAGGTACAGTGGTTGGCCGACCATGAGCACACTAGCAACCCCATGCAATAATGAGAAGAAGATAAACATATAGAGAAGGAAACATTAAATTGTAAAGAATAATGCCATACTAACCAAATAGATCCACAATTATAAAAAAATTTAAAGTTATAAGTTAATTGATTCAATTAGAAGAATTTATGAGATAAAAGAACTTTAATCTAGATATAAGATTTAATCAGATATCAAGTCTTGAACTTTGATATAAGATTTGTATCAAACACAAGGTTTATTATTCAAATATATGTTTCATTTAATCCTGTCGTTGCCAGTCTCAAGTCCTGAATGAGAAAAATTAAGGATTGTGTTAGATAGTTGGCAGTTAGTGTAAAACTTGTTGAATAATCATCATATAATGTGTTTAACTCAAATATATCTTATAAGGTTGTCAACTCGTATATGAAAATTTGTGAATATAATTAAATTAGCTCAAATTCTATAGCTTTTACAAGATCCTAATCTTCGGGATGAATTAAGTTATCATTTCTTTAGCTGAAGGGAAAGAAATTCAGGAGTTAGAATTGGTCGCTCAAGACAATTTCGATTTAAGTCTTCTCCAAGTTGCGAATGTTGATTTTTTCAAAAATAATGTTAAGGGATGGGGGATTTTTAATTTGATATCATTTAGAGTGCTTGGCCCGGTCGTTTATGGTAGTTTTTTTGCTGTAATTTTCATCTATGTGGCCATTATTTGGTCTTGTAGTGTATTGTTCTTACTTTTTTTCTTTAAAAAAAAAAATCAAATGTTCCGATGATGTTGCCACATTCTAAGTATAGATTTATTTAGAGAGTGAAGCATCGTTCAATCATAGATATAAACATAAATTATTCATATTCTTTCCTTGAATTCTGCAAGAAAAGTGAAGTGGTTTCTATTTAATCAACAAGAGGATCAAACCTGGAAGCACAATGAAGTTGCTTTCAGTTCTTCAACAATGAGGGAACATTCTGAAGGCAACAGGGCATCTCCAAACATTATGGCACCTTTATGGCACAAACAGAGATCGAGATTAATTATTTAATGCACATTCAAAAAATGCTCATTTAATGCTAAGAGTTGGGGACAAGTGCATACCTCTGCAGGCTTTGTAATTTAGTACACGAAGCACTGCTGGCGGGATTATGGATGATCCATCCGTTTCAACCAACTATCATTAGATGAATAAAAACAAACATCAGAATGCAAGGCCAATGAAAATCACATCATTAGAGGAAAAATATATAAATAAATAAAAAGGTAAATCCATCCCTCCTCCCTGCTGTGTTCTCTCCTCTTTGTCTTGCTCTCTTCTTCCCTCGCTCCGCCATTTTTCTGCTCTCTTTAAAGTGGAGACAATGATGTACTTTTCACTTTTCGAGAAAGATCAGTCTCCCAATTTTAAAATATTATCTACTTTCTGATATAAACTTCACATTCAATGCACATCATGTATATTCATCTATGATATGAAAATTATCTTTCTCTCCAACCCCTGCACTTTCTTCTCTCCTCTTCATCTTGCTCTCTTCTTCCCGACCTCACCCATTTTTTCTGTCTCTTTCTCTATAGATAGACATATAGAGAGAAAGAGATCACTTCTCTCTTCTGTCAAAAATGATAGTTCTCCCAATTTAATATATTATTTACTTTCTGATATAATCTTCACAGACAAGGCGCACCATTGATTTTAAATCATATGGGACAAGTTTAATAGCATAAAGGTTTAATTATTCGTCCAATATATGAAAAAATTAGGGATGGTCAAACAACATAAAAAAATTGACATGAAATTTTAATTAGAATAATGTAATTATCTAATCAAACCATTAAATTCTCTTCTTTATCCAAAAGCTTAGCCTTCACTGAGATCATACAAAAAAGGGAGTAATCCGCTAAAGAAGGTAAAAAGGGAAGCCCTCTTCAAATGCACTTAAAGACCGTCTTCTAGGAGAAGAAATGTAAGGAAAAAATTGTGTCCGAATATCTTAATATAAATTATATCAAGATAGGTTTAAAAAAGATTACATCAATTTTGATATTAGTACAATACAAAATATTATTACATGGCGCTACTTGCAAAGCAGATATAATGCTTGTCAAGCTCATATAGATATAATTTATAATAGGATATAGATCCTGATAATTTTTGTTAACAAATGTGAACTACATTCACCAGATTTGATGTATCACAAAAAACCGCATTTATCATCCAAGCAAACACTCTAAAAAAATTATCAAATGGTCTCAAACATTTTAAAATCAAGCATGCCAACAATATTAATGATATTGAAATCTTACAACCGTAAGCCATAATGTAATGTACTCTAGAAAAGAAGAGAATGATGATTCCTCCTGAAAGTAGAAAAAGTTCTCTGGTAACATTAACCTTCAATCTCCCTCATAGAAGCTAGTGGCCAACAATAGCAATAATGAAAGAAAAAAATGCCATAGAAAATAATTTTCTAAGAAAAACATCAACACTTTAGACAACACTCAGCAAAAATGAATGAAAAATGTGAATTCAAAAGAGTCTAAGATGTCTAATGTAATATAAGATGAGATGTAAAATGAAAGCTATTCAATAGGATTTTTATGATAAAAGCAGCAACATGATTGGTGTCCCTTTAGGATAGTGATGGAAGGTTATTTGGCTACTGGTGAAGCAGAAATTCAGAGTTTGAACAAATTTGGTGTTGAAACTTCTAGGCAATCAAAAGGTAAGTTTTCTTGGAGAAATGGGGAGAAAGTCCAATTCAAATGTTTGGGATGTTAAGGAACTAATGATTGTGTTTTATGAATTTTGGATGAGTGGACGAGGAGTTATTTTGCAAATTTTGATGCCTAATAGAGTTATTTTGCAAATCTATATTGCATTTTCATAATTATTACTATTGCATTTGCTATTGTACTTGTTCATGTTGATTATGAATGTTTTATGCAAAATCGAATGTAACATTTGAAAATAGATGATATTGTTGACCTCGATTTTCATTCAAGTGCTGAATTGACTCACATTTTCCGCAGTGCGCTTTCCGTGCGCTTTCTGTGCGCTTCCCATGCGCTTTTCTCCTAAATGAGCCATTTTGACTCATATTTGCCGTGGTACACTTTCCGTGCGCTTTAGGTGTGCTTTCCATGCGCTTTACCTGCGCTTTACCAGTGCTTTACTTGCGCTTAATTTAAAATATATATTTTTTAATATCCGGACTTTTCTCCGCGTCCTGTCAACTGATCCAATAATTTGCCCTAGCCGCAAGCCTCTTTGGATCTTCTTTTTTTCTTTCGGGCGAGTAGCCGCCCTCTGGCTCTCTCGTCTCTTTAGTTCGCAAAAAAGAACCTAGCCGTCAGCCTCACGACAGGAGATCGAGATCCCTCTCCGGCTCTGACTCTCAGTCTCTCAGTGTTTGCAAGCTCCAGAGAGCCGAAGTTCCTCTACTCGCAAGGTGAGCTCCCTCTTCTTTCCTTATTTTTTTTCTTCTTCTACTTCTTCTTTTTCTTCTTCTTTACCTCACTCTTCTTCCAGGTTTCTTCCTTCTCCCCATTTTCTCTTCTTTTCTTTCTAACCCTTCTTCTAACCCTTCTTCACCCTTCTCATTCTCTGTTCTTCTCCTCTCCTTGTAAAAAAAATTAAATTAAATTAAATAGCAATATTACTTGTTTCTTCTAAGACATTGATATCAGATGGTAGGATGAATGATTTCATAGGACGTGAACAAAGCTTTTGTTGATCTTATATCACTTGAAATGAACGCTTAGTATATGAAGTTCACATTCATTTATGACCTATGCTATGTCATTTAGATATTTTTGTGTAGGTTGTGGAAGATGGTGAAAATCCATATTGTTTTTTATAAAGAGACATAAATAAGATGCATGTAAGGTGTTTGTCTTTTTGCCTCTATAGAAATAGCATGAATATTTGGGCAAGAAAAAGCTATGGGAAGACATATTTTCAACTTGCTTCACTTGTACCTTTGGGAGAATGAGTTGGATTGAGATAAGATACTCATGTGCTTAGGTACATCTTAGAGAACAATATGCTCAAAACATACATATGAAATGATCTATGTGACAACTATTCGCTTGCTTAATGAAGTTCTAACAGAATTCTGTTAAAGATTATTTTCTTAATACCGTCATGAGAAATATAGTGGTGATATAAGGTTGAATAAGAATGCATATATCCACATTCTCTTGGTGGATAAAAGGAGGGATCCATATGATTTTCTATGGAATTGATTCAACGGTACATTGGAGTATTGGGTTATTCTCTTGAGCTTTGGCAAAATGTTTCTTCTTGTTGGAAAGCTTTATGAGTTGTTTTGTGATAAGTTTTATGAATATTTTACGAGGCTTTATAGTTTTACCCCACACCAAATAAGAAGAAAGGCACTTGATTGTTTTTTGTTAAAAAAGTGTTTAGTGGGATTTTTATGTGTCATTTTATTTGAAATTTTTCATGAGTTGTTTTAGGATTCATAGCTTTATGATTAGCTTTGTGTGGTTGACTCGTTGATGTCTTTTTAGAACGAGGTGGTTTTCGTGGGAGAAGTTGTCTTTCTTCTTGCTTGCACTTATTTTCTTAGTGGTTTTGGATTAGTGTGTAGCAAGATCATGTTTTGGGTTTTAAGTGAAAAGTCTATTTTGATTCTATTTTTGGGGGTTTGCTCCCCTTTTGTCATTTGGAGCTTTATTTAGAGGGTAGTTAAGTCGTTTGAGTTGGGTATTTATTCAAGTGTTTTATTTGGAATGTGTGGAAAGTAAAGGGCATTAAAAATGCTTTCTTCCTTATTCGTATCACCATCAAATTGGGGGAGAAGGTTATTTTAGAGGCACACTTGATTTCAAAGAAGTGTACCTAACAATAACAATGCATACATTTCTTTTATGTCTGATTTTCATTCTTTTCTTTCTACTGCTTTGCTAATTATTATATACTTTTATCCATAGATCCCTAAGCCATTGACACATGTACGAAAGTCCCAAAGGGTTAGAAAACAAAACTCTTTTTAGTCCTACAACTTTAGTGACACCTAAGGACAAAAATTAAGGACCGAGTCTTAGATAACATAGACTTAGGATGCATGCTCCCTATAGGATAGAGACATCAAAATGAAAACTTAGTAACACGCTTCCCTAAATTTAGTTTTATTTAATCCACTAATAATCTACCAATGAAAATCAACCATAATTCAATCCTTTAAAATGCACTAAAACACTTAATTTTTATTCAAACCATAATTAATATTTCATAACCATTAAAAATATCAAATCTAAATCAAGTTCAACTAAACTAATAATTAACTCCTAACCAATCTAAAATTAAAAGAAGTAGACTTAATCAGGATATCAAATCATAAGCTAAAATTTATTAGGATAAAAGACTCCTAAAATATCGGACCTTAGATCAATCTTTAAAATCAACCAACAAACTTGATTAATAAATTGCCTAATCTATTTTTCTTTTCTAATTACAACAAACTAATAATTCAACAAAAATTGGTTGCCACTGGGAAACTCAGGCCTACGAGGCTATTAAGTTAGCCCCAAGGAGGGTGAAATAAACCTCACGGCCTCGGTGTGAAATAAAGGTGATAATCAATCAAATCCTAAAATAAAATCTCTAAAATCAACCTTAAAACACTAAGATTTAAACTCTAATTAAAACTTCTTTTTTATCCTTTAACAAATCAAATGCCAATAATTCTAACTAAATCATCCTACATACGACATAACATAAACCACACAGCCTGTTACACACACTTTAAACTTGTTTGGTCAGGACACGACTTCTAGACCTAGGTTAGGCTGATGTTGTATCTTATTATTTAATGTTTACTACATGCACATGTTTTATAAATGCTATTCTTAAATTCCCAGTTAGTTATATTTTTATTTACTTGCATTTCTTTTCTGAATGACATCTACGCTCATTTGCATATTTCTCTTTTATCTTATCTTGCGAGGTACATCGGAGCTTAATGATCGGGAGCTAAACGGGACCATTTGCTTATAAGCTTTTAAGTGGCAGCGCCACAGCTAGGTACATCGGGTCTCGCACGTTCAAGAATCAATGATCAGTTTGCTTGCTTGGAACTTGTAAGTGGCAACGCCACGGTCAGGTATAATTTCTGCAACTAATAAACTCTTAATTACATATCAGAATTGCTACACATCACACACATATTGTTAATAGGTATTCTAGCATGTTTAGGTAGCTAGCCTTAGGATAGTTCACTGACGAAGCTTTGGCTCTATAGGTCAAAGCTTGCCCCTTTTCTGTGAGCCCTAGAGACCTCTATGGTCACTTTAGGCCTGTAGAGTAGAACCACCCATTTATGCCATTGGGTATCGTTGTTTTCCCACACGAAGTGGGCATCGCTAGGATTTTGGCCTTTTTCTGGTTTTGGGTATGATACCCCCACCTTCTGTGAGCCTAGGCCACCTATTTGTGCCATTGGGCATCGTTGTTTTCCCACACGAAGTGGGCATTGCTAGGATGATTATTCTATTGTGATATGATGCAGATACCTTGCCTGGAGGGTATCTAATGTGTTTATTTATTTTTTTTTCTGTACTCTGGATGTCATGCATGCATTTGTATTACACACCTTATTTTACATTGCACGTCACTCACATGCATACATTACATCAGTAGACGTATGAATATTTTGTATCCTTTTCATGCATCATACAGCGATAGGTATATTCTTTTGCATATTATAGAGTCCTTGATTAAGATCTTTTGAACTACAAATCCTTGATTCCTTAGGATAGAGCATTCTTATCTTGTATACATATAGGGCGATTGATTGTGTTTAGGATGTTATCTGGCAGCTCACTCCAGGCAAGCATAAGCCCAGATTGTACACCCCTCAGTGTGTCTCCTTTCATCTGTATTTTGAGTCTGTCATTTCTTTTAGGATAGTAATCCGATCTCTGATCTTTTAAACTCAAAATCTTAATTATATCTTTATTCATTTAAAAGAGTCTAATCATCACTAAGGATAAAGAGAAGAGTTTATTTTCTTTTGGGTAGAATTTAGGAACTTTCTCTATGCATCAAATCAAGAAGTGAATAATACGACACCCTTAATCGAGAGTTTTTCTAGGTCAAGGCCTAGAATGTAATTAACTACAGGGGCTTGCGCCCGTAGGAAACCGATCCCCACAATCAAATAAATCATGTTCGAGCTGATGTATCGAATAGGGGAAATCTCGTGAATTTAGGGTTATATATATTATTATCCATCGAGGTGTGTAGGTGAAAGCCGATATCCTCCATGGCTAATCGTATCTATAACTCCATCTGCTCTTCCATCGGCCTGCATGCGTCGGGTGTAAAGGCCTACGACCATTTTGTCCTACGGGATAGTGTGATCGTACTATTTGCATTCGAATCTCATGAGCAGAATCCTTTCGGAGACCCACAGATATGAAATATCTATCAAATCAATTGAATTCTTTAGGTTACAATCATAAACAATTTTGGATGATAACTATAAACAGCTTTAAAAGGTGAAAAGTAACAATCAAATTTTGTAATTAATCTTGAAGATTTCAATCATAATTTGAAATACAGCAAACCTTTTGTCAATAGCATCTTTTTCTCTGATTTGATGAAAGTATTCACAATATTTTGAAATTATTCAAATTTATCTAAAGTGGCAACTTTATGAGGTATGTTGATATGGATCTTCTAATTCTAGCCTTAGTAAATGTAAATATGATGATTTGAAACAATATCATAAATTGTACATTCATTGTTTAGATTTTTTCTCCTTTCTCAAATCTTGATTCTTTGGTCCTTTCCAGCGCCCTTTTTTTATCAATTGAAACGACACATAATTAATTTTAATTTTTTTATTTAAAATGTTTCATTTGAAAGTAATTATGTGGGGGGTTCTTTGTTTGTTTGAAAATCTGGCAGCCTCCTAGTGCCCCCTCCCCGCGAAGGGAGGTTGGGAGGCACTTGCCCTTCAAATCCGCCCAGCCGGATTAAAGATTTGACGGCCGAGGGCTTCGGGATGATGATTGGTCCCGGCACTAAACAAGTCTTCAAGTCATCAATTTGCTCGCGGTACTTGTTAATTAAATATGACTTAATTAAAAAAAGGCTCTTCTAATTTCTTGAAAATCAGGCAACCACTTATTTGTTTAATTGGTGGGACCCCCTCTCTCTCTCTCTCACATTTATTTATTTTAAAACACTCCTTTGTTAAAATTCATTTACTCACAGTCGTTCAGAAATAAACAAAACATGAACAATTTGTTGGAGACAGGCCAGAGCATTGTGATCGCACACGGGCTCGACAACAAGTGGCAAACATGAGGCAGGGCCGATCGAGTCAGAATTGGAGACGCACGAGCGAGTCACGTGTGTGGCTATCACACGAGAGGGAGAGAGTGATCGGGTCAGAGTCTTGCGGCTTGGTTTCATGCGGGATAGTGCAGACGATCGAGAGAGGGAGGTCAGGCAAGCATAATCGTATTTTTGTGTGGGAGGGAGAGTCGAGCATGTGAGATGATCGGGTCGAAGACACAAGCAGATGGCAGCATCAGAGTCGAAGATGGTAGAAGACGGTGTCAGTTGAGTCCTACGTGTGTGAGTACGAACGAACAAAGGGAGTTGGGGCTTCCTGTGTGCGGTTAAGTTGGAGTCGCGGGGGGATCAAAAGCCTCGAATGGGATTCCACATGCCTCTAAGTTCGGGTGCTAGATCAGACATCATAATAAGTAGGGAGTCAAGTGGTTTTGTCGTTTGGGCCTAACAGTTGTGTCGTTTGAGAGTGAACCGCATGAGGTGGGGCCAGTTGGGCTAGTCAGTGGCCAACAAATACCCATATGAAGAGAATAATCGTCATACATCATAATAAGTAGGGTATATATGTTCAAAAATCAATTTCTTAGTTACCAAAAATAAATACTTCAATTAGACCTCAATTATAGTCATGTTTATCAAAAATGTCAACTAGAGAGGACCTTGATTATCAAATGATCTTAAATTTCAAGATAAATATTTTGAGCCTAAATTCCCACAAAAATGCAAAACTCAAAAAAAAAATCATAAACCTAGAAAGTATTCAACCAACAAACAATTATCAAAAGGTGAGACCATCGAATCCATATATCCCCAGCTACGGTTTGCCAAGGTTAACAAATTTAAGATAACTTAAGCTTATAGAGAGCCAAAGTTATATTGACCTAATCAGACTAAAGGATCTTCATAAGAGTATGTGTTGCTTCCACCAAAAGACCTTGTAGATATGCGATAGATGTCTAACTAAAAAGACAAATTGAAGTCGATCTCAACTAACGAAAGACTTTGCACCCTATCAAGTGCAATATATGATTCGTAACTCAAGGGGCTGGAGCTATTAACAAATACTTAGCTATGGCCATCACTAAAATAAAATCTTGGTATTTTACGATGAAACCACTCGATTAGAGGGTCCGACATAACTGTTACTTAGTGGTGCCTTTGGCGACAAAACCACCTTGTTTGATGACACATGCCACTTAAGTATTTTTATATCTTGTAATTTTCTACAGGTTTTCATATTTCTATAAAAATTTAGTCAGAAATAATTAGAATTGAGATTTTCGGGTATTTTGAAAATAGAGTCTCCTCTAATTGAGATTTGCTACTAACATAACTATCATCAAGGTAATAACATTTGTATTTTTGAACTTCGAATACTTTCTGGACTGCTAGTAGAGGATTGGATTTATGGAATTCAAGTTTTGTCAATTTCAATTTTTGTGACGTGGTGGACTGGACTTAAAACATGGGACTTATGACCTTATCTTGTAGGGAAAGTGGCCCACTCGAGAACATCATGCAACATTGAGAGTTTGAATCTTATAAAAATAACAAAATCTAGTTTAGAGTAATAGCACAAATATTTTTTATGATGGTTGCACGCTTCTTAAGGCAAGGTAAATTTAAATTCAATTTATTTTCATTCTCTGTAGCATTCTCAAACTTTTATGATTAGTGTATTTGTCGAAGCAAATGCAAATATTTGACTTTTAATGACTTGATATTTCTCTCGAATAATGTGCATGATTTTTTATGTAATTTACTAATTTGGATTGCTTACTTGAACGTTTTTTAATATATTGTAATTGAGTCTAAAACTTTTATAGGGATGCAAGCCTGCGATTTGCAAATATCCAGATTTTGCAAATTGCACAAACGTTGGGTCATTAGGATGCATGCAATATTTTGTTTTGAGTTTTAAAACATCGCCTTAATTATGCTTGAATATATTTATTGTAAATCTGGTGGCATTTGTTACAATATAGATTCTTATTGTTCATTTAAGACAGTCCATTTTGTTGCTTGCATTTAGTCCTTAGTTTATTGAATTCTGAACGTTTAATAAATTCTCCAGCACAGGTCATCATAGTCTGTCAAAACCTAAACCATACGATATAATATTTTGTTGGAATCTTTCAATTTAATATCATTAGTATAGTCATTTAATTTTCCTAGCGTTGATATTCAACTATTATCAATTGATATGTTTAACATGCATCAAGAATCGACTTAATATGTGAAAGATAACATCTATACTTAAGTAAATATTATATTCTATTAAACATTCCTAATTGAAAATGTAAAACCCGAAATTCGTCGTTTGAGTGCGTCGCACGCATATCGATGCGCCGCGACGAACTTAAGTGAATTTTCGATGTCGTCGGAATTTGACGAAATAAATTTTATTAGATTCGTCTCGAAATTTCGAGCAAAACGGTATAAAGAACTTATATTAAATTTCGCGCGGATTTGGAGTTAAAATTCGCCGAAGTGCTTTAAGTAACTTTTGGCTAGACTTTCCATTTTTACCCCTAAGCCCTCTTAAGGGAAATGAGTTTGGCAAGGGCACATGCATAAAATGGCATTTGCATTTCTCTAAAATCCCTCATAAGCCCTAAGGGACCGAAACATTTCGGTCCCTTGTTGTTTTGTTCGGCCGACCGAGAGAGAGGGCGACGGGAGAAGGGGAGAAGCGGCGGGAGCTCCTTCCAAGCCAGCGATTCCGGCGAGAATCTTTAGGAAAAACGTGGGGAAAGCCTTGGAGTAAGTGTTTCTTCAATTATATGAAAGATTTCATGAGATTTTGTGTTTAGAAAAATTTTAGGGTTTGTGTTTTTGAGAAATTTCTTTAGGAAACTTTTAGGGTTTGACTTGATCTATGTTTTCCTACCATTCATGTCAAATTTTTTTAGAAAAACATTAAATCCGAAATTAGGGCTTAATAAAACTTTTTCTTTAAGTAAGGATTGATGTTAGGAATGATTTACAAGCGTAATTGAAATAAGATTTTAAGTTTTCCTTAACAAAATTTTAGAGTTTTAAATTAGGGCTTTTTCAAAAGATAGGGTTTTGATCTTGCATGTTCACGAATGTTGTTCCTAATGGTTTAGGAGGCCTCTAATGAAAAAGAAAATGAAATTTTGATAAAAAAAATCTTTTTCCCTAATTTATTAATTAATTAATCCGAAAATCAACAATTAAATTTTAGAATAAAATAATGATTTTGGATATGTGAATGTATATGTTTAATTTTGGAATTTCTTTTCCCTTAGGTTGAATAAGGGAAAGTGGTAAGAGTGCGAAGAAGTGTAGCAAAGAAAGGCTTAAGTGTAAGTGACATATTGCCTTCTAAAATTCATAGAATTCTTTATGTATTGTCTATGTTTATGAACTTCATTAATTAAAGCTCATGTATTGTTATGTTTTTCTTTATGTTGCATATGATACCTCATGTATTGTTCGTGGAATTTCATTTTACTTTCATGCCCACTACAAGCATACCCACTACAAGCATACACATTACAAGCATACACATACATGTGGCATATCATCTGATTTTATAAATCTCTTATGTTATAATGTAAAATATCTTATTACTATGAGTAGAGAATACAAGTTTGTGTATGTTGAATTTCGGAGTACCAATTATGGTGCATTGGCACAATAAGGTTCTTGAGAACAATAAGGCTCTTGGAGCAATATGAGGATAAATGGCCAAATATGAAATTGTACCTGATCAGTACATTAAAGGTACTCCGGTACGGGTGTATTATAGTAACTAGTAATAGTTGATATTTGTTAAGTAAGAAGGGACATGTAATATGGCATTCTTATAAATGACATAACTTCTACATATGGCATCCTTACATCAAAGCATCAACCTTACATATGACAAAACATTTACCTTACATCGACTTACATTGTTATCTTGCATATTACATTCTTCATTGTATGAATTTTAGTTTGAAATTTGTCATTTGCTGAGCGTAGCTCACTCCCTAGCTTTGGGAAATTTTCAGGAGAACATACCCGTAAGTGATGGCAGAACACCCGAGGTTTACATATAGTCGACGAGCAACGGGTGACAGGTTCTTACTGTTTTGTTTTAGTTATGAATTTTTGGGTGGTTTTATCATGAATGACTAGATTGAATTTATACCACCTTGTACATGATCTTCTTTTGTGATGGTTTTAAATGTGATACTTATTGGAAAAAGTTTAGAGGCGCTTTTATTATACTTTTATTATCTTTAGAATTTCATGAAACTGATGATGAGCACTTAAATTACATGTCCGATCTCGTTCCCGCCTCATACCTACGAGCTCACCGGGCCGGATCGTGACAGAAAATATCTTAAATTTCTTTAGATAGGTGATCTCATAAAAATTCAGTAGGCTTCTTAAAATCATCATGGTATGCTTCTATCCAACCAAAATTATTTAATAAATACTAATATATGTATTTCAATAATTTTTGAAATGGGTGAAAAATAAGGTATAATTTTTAGCAGAGATTTTCATCTTTTTTTTTTAAATTTTGTATATTGCAGAACCTGAATAATTAAATTGCCAGGTATAATGTTTTTATAGAAAATAAATAGGCAGTGAATTACAAAATTGTTTGATAGTAGTACAAGTAGTTAACGTGGAAATAAAAAATACTCACTACAACGACACCTGTAGAGATTAAAGGGCATAGCGTGACATGGAATCAAGAAACCTGGGAGCCCTGCTGTACCCAGAAAGGGCTCAAAAAGTGATCAAGGCATATATGATCTAAACGAATTAGAACAATATGCAGAAAGATAACGTGCTAAAGTAGATCATTAAGTATACAATTACCTGCTCAATATATTCTAGAAGATCTTTGCCTGTCAAATCAGTACCCAAAATATGCGGTACCTGAGAAAAGACTTGATATAAATATCAATAGAGAAAGTAGTAATCCAAGCTCTATGCTTAAATGGGTTATGATAAATGTTAATACAAAAACAAGTAAAGTGTAATCTAAATTAGTAAATATAGCAGTGAAAACTAAATGCCAATAAGTACATGGATCAATTGCAATATCACAATTTTTATAAATCAGTCTTTACAACCAGTAAGGACTTACAGCAACAAGCGTAGCTCTGCATTCGTGTTGCCTTAGAAAATCCATGCCCCTGAAGTGAAGACATTCATTGAAATCAAAATTAATTATAACATCACTATCTAAAATTCAACAAATGTGATTAAAAAAATAGATTACAAATTATTAGGAGCTGTTCCTTTTCTTCTCCTAATGCTACTTTTGTATTTCCATTAAATATATAAATACTGAATAACTGGATGGTCCTTAACGCTCTTACCTGGTTGGAAGATATCTTAGATTTATATTAAGATTTTCACATATGAAAAACGCAATTATCTTGGCTGTGTTACTCATATATGAAAAATGTCAAAGCAAACAAAGAGCCCAGAGAATCTTTCTTAGAAAAGTTTAGATAAAACAAAAAAGGCTTGCTCACAATCCTCGTGATTTAAGGGAATAAAGTACTGCATGTGTAACTATTTGACAAATTTAAACTATTATATAGATCAAAAAACAATGTTGATTTAATACTGATTCATTGGCTATTAAATATTCACCGAGTCCTCAGAGGTAAAAAAATGAGAATTTCATTTTCTAATTAATGCCAAAAATACGACTACATTTTATTAAAATATAAACTTCGACAGTGTATGAGGCACAGGGATGAGTTCAAATTATATGAAAATTTTGAAAAATAAAATAAAATAAACTAAGAATTGGATTACATTACAAAGGACATTTTATATAGGAAAAAGGTATGTTCTATCACAAAAGATTAATGAGGGGAAGGATGGTCCTATTTTACAATAACAAATCAAAAAAAGGAAAAAACTGAGAGAATATACAACGACTAGCATCATAAAGAGCATCAATAGTTAACAGAAAGTTATCTTGTGAAGCAATCTAAAAATACATTAAAATTGCAAATTAAAGACATCCTTTTCTTAAAACACAGACAAACATAGAAATAATAAAAAACACTATTATATCCCACAATAGCCACAATAGCTTAAACAAATACAGCCACACCTTACAAAAATCAAATAAAGAGGACACAACAACACCATACGATTAATCAAGCTTCGAGAAGAAAGATATAGATGGAATGAGAACCGTGGAGAGAAAAAGAAGATAGAAGTCCGAGACGAAATTTTAGAAGATAGAGAGGTAGAAGAAAATAGCTCGCAAGCTATATAAGCCCGCGTGTCTCACTTTCCAAAAATTCTTTACAATTCACCCTTTTTTTCAAAGAAAATCAGCCACCTTTTATAGGAGAAGAAGGCCCTCACATAAATGTGCCACCCAAATAGCTAATAGAAACTAATCAAGACAACCAGTTTTTGAGAAGGTAAAACACTAGTCTAGGATTCAGCAAGGAGGGGAGATGAATGGCAAGCAGCAGGAAAACCGAAGCCTTAGCTGGGAAAACCAAAGGCTAGCAGGGAAACCAAAATCTGCATGAAAAACCAACAGCATGGAATCCAATGAATATTTGAAAAATGTGGCTGATTTTCTTTGAAAAAAAAGGAGTGAATTGTGATTTTTGGAAAGTGAAACATGCGGGATTAAATAGCTTGCGAGCTATTTTCTTCTACCTCCCTATCTTCTAAAACTTCATCTCGGACTTTCATCTACTTCTTTTGTCCATGGTTCTCATTCCACATATATCTTTCTTCTCAAAATTTTGATAAGTTGTAAGGTGTCGTTGTGTCGTATTTTATTTTAAGTTCTAAGGTGTTGTGTTCTTTTTTTTTTTTATTTGAAGTTGTAAGGTCTTGTGTCCTATTTATAAATTTGAAGTTGTAAAGTGGTGTCCTTTTATTTGAAGTTGTGAGGTGTGGTTATGTTTGTTTAAGCTATTGTATTGTTTTGTTCTATCTGTATTTGTCTATGTTTTAAGGAAAGGAAGTCTTTAATTTGTAATTCTAGTATTTCAGATTGCATCATCTTGAATTAATGCATTGCATGTGTGATGTTAACGAGCAAAACTCACATTTTGCTCATCAAATCCATCAAGAAAGTTATCATTTTTTCACAGTTTTCATGTGCTGAGCTCGTTTCAATATCAATGACAGACAATGGCGCATTATGCATAATCATCGCAGTGTCAATCATCAAAACCTTAATTTCCATTCAATTTGGTCAATACCTATCTTTTATGCAAGTCGGGCTTTAGAATAATATTCCTAAACTTCTCACGAGGCTGTATTAGAAAAAGTTTGTTTTAAAGTGGTTGTGGAGAAAATGGAGTTTCAGAAATAACATTCTATATAATTGAGTTATTACAAAATATTATTTGGTTAAATAACTTTTTATGTGCTCATTCAAACTTTAAAATAGATAATTAGTGTTTGGTGCAATTAACAATTTTAGCTTTTTCACCATAAATGACGAAGCTACCCATATATTAAACTCAATTTTACTTAATATTTTTTACAAGTATAATATGTCTCACCTACTCTTTTTAAATATTCGTATCTTCTGTAGAGATGGTTCTACTTTTTTAAAGATCAAAATTCAAATCATGGTCCGATAGTAACACTAAAAGAATAAAAATTTTGGAACAAAATGTTTTAAGTTCAAGAATTAATATACACATTATTTCTTGTTAAAAAAAATAGTGCACTATGTGTAGCCAGTCAAATGTATATTTCAAACAAATTATATTTTAGGCTTTGAAAATTTTAAAGAAAATAAAATAACTGAGATCCTTGAAGCATCCATCTATAAATAACACTTAGAGGAACATAATCATAAGTTGAGATCCACTTGAATAGTTAGTAGTAAGTTGAAGTGGAGAGCCCCACAAGCATGCCAAGTTCTGCTACCCTTCATGCTACACCTAATGCTGCTGTGGCGAAGTTGGACAAGGAAGAACCTCAACCACCACCGGTAGAGAAAAAAAAAAAGATTCTACTTCTATTAAATCAGAGAAGAATCAGCTCTAAGATGCAAGAAGAGGAAGTATACCCTGACCCAAAGATTTTTATTTTTTATTAAGATCTTTCCTAAGCAGGTGGATACAGGAATAGAAAGAGCATACCCGTAAGGAATAGGCGCTGGAAGGTGATGCCTAAGAATCGCGAACAATTTCCTTAGCCGATTTCTAGGTGCATGAAAGGGAGACGATATTTTGCTTAACTGTAGTTGCTTGAATGTGTGGTGGCGGTAAATTGAATGGAAATTTTTTTTCTGCTATATTTCCTTGAACGCAGAAGACGACGCGATGTCGTGCGTATGTTCGGGGATGGAATAGACAAAATACTAGAGCAGATGGCGGAACGCTCTAAAAAAGCAGGTCAGTTTTGGCTTTCATGTTTCTAAACAAAACTTTGGTATTAAGAACGTATTTTAAAAAAACAGTTATATCAAACAATTTTTTTTTCTACTTCACCGTTTGCAAACGGAAAAAGCAACGGAAACGGGCAAACAAATAAGGCCTTAGTTTAAACCCTTCCTACGTTTCCTCCTGAAATTAATTAGACCCACCACCTTCCTAAGGCTACTCCAAAATTGGGGCTAGAAATAAGCACCCTAGAGTTGCAAAATCCAGAAACCGTGGAGAGCATAGGATTGCTCATATTCTCAATTTATGTTCGAGTTTTGATAACCTACAAGACAGGACTATTTGTTTGATTAAAAATATTCAGTGACTCCCAAGGAACCATATCTCCAAAAAAAATATTTTTTCCTCCAATAACTATGGGACCTGTCTCATATTCTCATTTCAAAACTTGAAATACTGCCTTTAGTTTGTTCATAAGAAGCAAGACTGACGACTCCATAACAAAGAAGGATAGTCCAGCCATTTATAGGTAAACCAACAGAAAATGCATGATTTTAGGTTTGCTGCCATTCATAGACTTATTTTGCAGCATTGTCAGATTGCCACTGCAGCAGAGATTGAGAATGTGGAAGTTGCCAAGCAATTTCTGAAATGAAAAAGTGTTCGACTGATCTCACTGAACTTCATAGAAATTGTCCATGCACATTGCTGGCTAATGCAATTACTGGACGAATTTCAATCACTTTAAGGTATAAACCATTAGTAAGGCAATAGTGTGTTTATGGTATTGAATAATTTGCTTGGCAAAATCCAATATACTAGGGTACTTTTGTATTTCCCAGAAGACTGAATATTCCCTCGTTTTATTAGGCTATTTTTTCATCATTTGTCTAAGAAACTTGACAATTGCAAACAAAGCAATTGGGCTATGCTAAATTGCTAATTACTGGAAGAAGGAATACAGTTTGTAAAAAATCAAGATACAGTTAACAGTTAACGGAGATATCAAAAAACATAATAAACCACCAAATTGACTATCAGTACAAAAATACAACAACCATATTACATATAGTTTGAAATACTACAAATTATAATAGACGGATGGCGTGGAGAGGCCGGAAACACACATCTAAAAATGGGAAATTTTCGGAGCCCACAATCATTTGTCTAAGAAACTTGACAATTGCAAACAAAGCAATTGGGCTATGCTAAATTGCTAATTACTGGAAGAAGGAATACAGTTTGTAAAAAATCAAGATACAGTTAACAGTTAACGGAGATATCAAAAAACATAATAAACCACCAAATTGACTATCAGTACAAAAATACAACAACCATATTACATATAGTTTGAAATACTACAAATTATAATAGCTTCAGCAAGAATAGGAGAGCATGGCAAAGTAAAAGTATTAAGTAAATTACTAAAAGCAAGTAGTATTAACTTTGCAAACCTTCAGCAAAGAGGGGCAGCATTCATTGAGTACCTTCAAAAAAAAAAAGGCTATCCTACAAGCAGAGAACCTATAAACCTGAGCCATTTTATAATCCCCTACTCCCATATATAAGCTACACATCAAATGATGTTAACAGTGCCAATTTCCCACGCAGGTCTAGAGATATGATTAGATTGATTCTGCTGCGACTTGGAAAACACAGATTTTATAACAAAATTGTTTTTTTATAATGCCGGAGGCAAGTCAAAGTACATCAAGCCCTCCCTAGTCATTGCATTCACAAGAGCCTACTGAATTGAATATATATTTGTATGGTATCAGCCAGCTTAAGGGTCTATTTGGTTGGGACTTATATTTAGCTAAGCCAAGCGATTACAGGCTTAAGCCATAAGCGGTGTTAAGTTGTTTGTTTGGTGAAAAAATTGAGCTATTATAATTGGTGAAAAAGCAACGACCCAATAAGGATAATTGTGATAATAAAGGGTGGTCACATTAATAGGTTAACCACTGGAGAAAGTCTGCTGAAACAATAAGAGGGAACACAGAGGAGATTGAAGACGCAATGGAAAAAAAAAAAAAATTTTGTAAGTGCGTAACCCTCTGAGACCTAAGCTTATGATCACCTAAGCTAATACAAGCCAAATTGGCTAAAAAGGTGTGCACTTGGGCTATTTGGCTAGGATTAGGAGACTTAAGCTAGCTTAAGCCTAACCAAGTCCCCAATCAAGCAAGCCTAGCATGTCATAACACTAGCATTAAGACCATACGTGCTCTCAAGGAAAACCAACACATTCAAATACGAGAAATTAAGTTCCCATAACATTTTAATATTCTTCAATAACAAAGTGTAAAATAAGCAAAACAAAATCATTTTACGTCTTTATAAGAGATGAAAAACATGATACCCTTTTCAAAATCAATATTCTTTTTGTTGTTAACCCCAACCACCATGTAGGAGACTATGGAATGAGGATAAAACATAGCTCTAAATTTGTGCAAGACATTCATATTTAACCATAAGGTTTCTATATATTTGTAAGTGTGCAAATGAAATTTCAACCAAAAAAAAAAGATGTGATTGTTCTTGATAAGATGAGCATGGAAAATGAAGATTAATATGAAGTGGAAAATTTTAATATAACTAATCTATACTATTATTTAAAAAAAGACAAGAAATTCGACCAATCTATAATCCAAATATTTCAATTTTAAAATAATCTCAACCATTCATAAATATGCTACTTCGAAAAAGTGGTTTGTGCTTCCACCAGCATTAAATGCATACCTTTGATTCAACATTAAAATAAAATTAAGTTTGAGATAAAAGTTTCTTTTGAGGTTATTTTGGTTTAACGTTTGACATATAACTGTATAAGTTGAAGAATCTTATGATTTGAGAAATTTTGTTTTACAGATCTTATATAAAAGAACAAGATTTTGTAGGGATCGGTGCAAGGAAGCTTGTCCAGGAGTCGATCACTACTTTGTATAAGATACTTAATTTTTAATTCAAGAAGCAAATATGCTTTAGTCTTTTGCATGTAAGTTTTATGTATGATTTAGACTTATATGTAAGCAATGAATTACAATGTTCTCTATTTTGTAATGTCTTAAATATATGATTAAATGCTCATGCATCAATTTTAAATTATGCAATGCACATGTTTGAAGTATTATGAGTATGCTAACAATTTATTAAAATATTATATTTTAAAAGAAGATCTTGTACTTGTAAATTACATCTTGATGCATAATGTTGATTAGCCTATTCATGATGAATACGATATGTATTTAAATATTCTATGATGCAAAAATGAAGGGAGCTTAAGAATTGTATGTGGGATAGATTGGCAATGTTTACAATGCCCTGTATAGTGGAGCAACGAATTGATGAAATATCTCCTATTGGAGGAAAAAGGATTTTACCCTCACACGATTCCTAGGATTGGTAGTTTAATAGCAATGATGTTGGGTTAAACCTGGGGAGTATTGTTAGACCGGTCCACTGGACCGGTCCAGGCGAGACCGGTTCACGGGCGAAATCGCAAAAAATAGCAGAGGAAGCTTCCGCCTGGGCGGAAGTCACGTGACACGCGCGCCTTGCGAAACGGTTTCGGGAAGGAAATTTGAGCGAGTTTAGGAGGGAAATTGATTGCATGGACTGTTTAAGGAATTCCTTTTGAATTGTATGATTAAATAGTTGACTTTTCTAGGGTTAGAGGATCTTGAATTTGGCTGAAATTTGAGATCTCTTAGATTTAGGTTCCTTTGGGCTCTAGCGGCGTCTAGAGATTTGGGAGAGATCGATCCTCCTCTCGAATTGAGGATCAATTGTATCTTTGCTATTTCATTCATTATCTAATGGAATCCAAGTTTCTTCTTGAGTTTTCTCTCAGTTTTCTCTCAATTTCTCGCTGTTTTCCTGTGTTTGGCTGCTGTCCTCTGCTGAAAACAGCAGTTTTCTTCTCGTTTTACTTCAGATTTGGCTAGGAAATACTTGATTTCATTTCCTATCAGGTTAAACCTGGGATCTACTAAATCTTATAAAGTTAATTGATGGGTTGGGTGACGACCTTAAATAATAAGTGGTGTAGATATAATACAGTCCACCATCTTATGATATCAATGAACCTAGTCATCCATATTTAGCATATTCTAAGACTATGAATGGATATGATATAACAACAACAACGCAATATCAAGCCATCATCCCACTAGGTGGGGTCGGCTACATGAATCCTCCTCCATTATGTCGTGTTAATAGTCATCTCATTTAATCTAATAAAAAAATGTCATTTCTAATTTTTTTTAACAAAGTCTTTTTAGGTCTACATCTATCTTTCTTAATATAAGCCAAATCTAATACATCAACTCTCCTAATTGGAACATCGGAAGGTCAATATTTTATGTGCCCAAACCATTTAAAGTGACTCTCTCTAATCTTATATGAATGGATATGATAAAAAGTATGAAAAAAATAAATAAGCAAATGAATAATATAATGTGATTGATCTAAGGTATACCCACTAATACCAGAAAAGTACCGTGCTTATAATGATTGGACATTGGCATCTATGTTATGAATCCTTAAGTATAACTATCTTACTATTAAGCTATGTCCTTATTCAAGGATTTCATTTTATAATGATTATATGTACTTTAGCAGACTAATATATGATCATATTCTTAATTTTATCTAGTTCATGATTAGCAATATCATGTTATTTCCATTCCTTGAGTATTTGGTTAATGTATTAAATTGTCTATTTTAATGAACTATATAGCTCACTCGATTAACTTTAAGATCTCATGTAAGGTATGACGTTTGCTAAGGTAATAAATTATTTTATCCAGAACTATCAATTTTAAATATGATAAATAATTCCATGATCAATAAGTATTCTTCTATATCATAATTGAACTTCAAATGATATATCGACTATTTAATTTTAAAAAGAAATATTTTATTATTTTGCCATTTTTCTTTGCAGGGATGCAATGTAGGGGTGGTGCTATTTAGTGCAATTAGAGCTAGTCAACCTACCCTTAAAATTGAATATTTTGATTTTGACCCTAGCCAACAAGTTTGAACCAAGTCAACAGTGATGTGCGACTGATTTCAAGTTTATTCAAGCAAGCCTATTAAGTTTATTAAATATTAGTTAATCACTAATCAAACTATTATGTTTATAATAATATTCACAATTTATTAAATCAAAAGAATTACTAAATTTATTAAATAAATTTTATATCTGTCCAATATATATTATATTATAGTTCTCTGATTTTTAATATAGTTGTTGCATAAGAGTATTATTATCTCTTATGATCGATGTATCTTGAGATTACTACTAAATATTAAAATTTAAAAATGATTGATAATATTAACAAAATTTAATTGAAGATAATAAAAGTACAAAGGGCGCTACAATTCAACTTCACCTTCCATTTGGGAAGTTTAAAAATAAATAAAATATATAATTTTAAATTTTTAAAAAATCAAAATAATGACTTTTTCTTATTTCAAGGTGCAATTCATTTAATTGCAATTAACAAGTCAACTATAAAGGACTCAAACATGGAGTAAGCTTAGAGGAAAATAAAAATGAAAGTTCCCAGATAAATATTTACGATGTCAAGGTTATTTTCTTGACAAATAATATTTTCCATTAAGAAGTAAAAGGATAAAATTTGAAATAATTGGACTTTTTATCAAAAAAAAAACATGCATTTTTCAAGCTAAGAACTCTCAGAACTCACCAAGTAAATGAGTCCGAAAACTGACTTTGAATATTGCAGATCCAACCCCATTTCTTTATCTGCTCTGCATACTTCTGAAGCAATTGATATCCCATCTCTGGAAGAATCTAATCAAGAATCTAAGTGATTAATCACAGTTTAAAAAACAAAATGTAGATAGCAAAAGACAAGTGCACAGTTAAAGCACATAGAAGAATTGCTAACATTAACAAATCAAGCTATACCAGTTCATGCTCAGGGTTAAGATATGTACTGCTCTGTAGCTCGCCATGCAAAACCTTTAATGCAAGAAAGAGTTGTAAGGTATTGAAATAATACATGATATAGCAACGAATCTAGGAAAGTCTCATCTTGAGATCTTAACCTTTTTCCGTAAATCTTCAAGCCTTATCCTTTCGTCCGCAGCATGCTGGAAAAGAGGATCCACTGTTAGTGAAAAAGGTGAAGCTAAGGAAATTCTAAATAGCAGCACAAACAAAAAGGTTTTGTGGAAAATTATAGATTAGCACAATAGATGCAATGCCACAATAATACACGTGCACACAAACAAACACACAATATAAAACACAAAACAAAAGTACTTGAACCAAGAACGCAATCCTGCTACTAGTTCTGTATTTATATATTCTATATTTAAGTATTTCAAATATTCTACAATCTGAGAAAGGAATACTTTCTCGACAGCTACTGATGATCTTTTTTGATTTAGCCATATAACCTTGTCGGTTTAAAATCTGACTGTAGAACTAAATGCCCGTATTGTTTTACTCTTTTAGAAAAAAAAAAAATTGCGCCAAAAGTAATAGATTCCTTTGGTTTGCCTGGCTTTGTTGGTCGTTTGGTTAATACATAACTTTTATTGAAGCTGGCCTTCATGCTAAACTTTTGTTTTTCAAAGACAGTTTCTTCATCCTGGTTAATGGCATCCAACGATTTGGATGATGTCAATGTTGAGATTAACTCAAAGAATTCTCTTTAACAGTCATTCATTCTCCTTAGTTTAATCCCTTCCAGTGATCCATGTGGATAATCCTTATGAATTCATCCCTTCCAAAAAGAAAATTCTGCAAGAGAAGACTACTTGTTCTTGTTCAATCCTGGAATGGTTTTAATGAAAAACTTAATATGCAATAATTTTTTAACAACTTTAATTTGATTTTGAAGAGAGGAGATATAATACCCAAAAATATTCAAAATAAAGGTAAACCTAAATTTCTACATGTTCATTAGTTTTGTTAAAGTCTATGTTTTTTTTTTTTTTCATCTAGACACACATATTACTAACATTATTCCTTAGCAAAAATTTTATAACTACATACACGTCCTTTAAATGTTACTATTGCCTAAGTATTATTATTACAGTCATTATCACGTGACCTAAATTGTGAAAACCCGAAAATGCCATTTTAGACCTTGCACGCTTTTCAAAGCGCCGCGACGAGATTTAAGTGGAATTTTCAATATTATCGGAATTTAACGAAAATAATTTTAGAAAATTCCTTGCAAAATTCGGATCATTTTGATATATAACACTTATACCTAATTTAGCCTATTTTAGGAATTAAAAATGTTTGAAGCTTAAAAATACCAACTTTACCCCTAATCTAATAAAAGGGCCAAATCCACTTAAGTGAGGGCACAAGGGTAATTAGCAAACCCAATTTCTTTTATTAGGCATAATCGAACCCTCCCCTTTCATTCTTTCGCACGAACGGCGGACCGAGCGGAACAAGCAGACAAGGGGCGGACGGCGTGCTTCCGCGAGGGTCTCTCCGGCGACGATCTTCCGACGAAAGTTTTAGGTCAAATTGAAGAGGACGACGAGAGGAATACTCAGGTACGATTATTTTAGAATGAAACTTTCTAGATCTCGAGTATTTTGGAAAGGAAAAGTTATGAAAAATGATATGGATATGGAAATGAAATGGAAAATATGACCTTATGATATGTTTAATATTATGTTAAGTATGAAATCATTTTTACGTTATGTTCATATGAAATTGACATCCAGCATATTACACAATTGCCTTGTTTACTGTAGTTTAGAATTTTGTATTACTTACTGAGCTTTAGCTTAATGTTAGTTGTTAACATTTTCAGGTAAGCTTAAGTTAATCAGAGATGAGTAGAAGAGGTGGCAATGTTTATCGTCGTAGAGAAGCTCCATAAGAAAGGTAATTATGATTTTGTTTGAGTTTTGTGTTAATAGTGTTTTCAATTTGATGTTTTAGAGGCTCTTTCAATTATTATGGAGATAGATTTAGAGATTAGATAATTTAAGCTATCGTCCGACTTATGTTCCCGCCTCGCCTGCGCGAGCTCACCGGGCCGGGTCGTGACATAAATACTAGTGCTACATGGCTGTAGACAAGTAGATAAAGCACTAAAACCCACATGCAATGGGTGGATTTAATCCTACGGCTAGGATTAGAAATGAGGGCAGGTGAGTGGAATCTTAGTGGAATAACAAAAACAATATTATATTAAGTATTCTAAAGAAATAATTCTATAGCCATCTCAAGTAATTCCTTCAGTTTTTCTTTCCCATTCCCACGGTGCTTCCTGTTTTGGAGAAGGCGGAGCTGCTGAGCAAGGGGAACCGCTGGTTTCAGGTAAAGAAATATAGGAAATCTTCTTAAGGGTTTAAAATGCTGAAGAAAATCAAAGGTGCATGCTTAAAACAATTCTTTCCTTTCTTCTGAAATAGATTTTGTTGATTTTAGTGTGTGTAGCAAGTTGCAATTGGTAGAAAATCAATAAGAGGAATGATTAAAGCTTGATGGTATGTTGCTGGAATCCAACACTGAAAGGTTAGCTGAATGTTATATTTTTATTCTAAACTTTAGGGATGCTGAAGCCATGTTTTAACATCAATCTAAGTTGTAAATTAAGTGTTATTGTTGAATTCAATTGCTGAATTCAGGAAATAGGAGGGAAAATAGGTAAAATACTTTGTGGACTGCGATAATTGCAGATGGACGAGCAGTTGTAAGTATTGAAAAACAGCTAGTGTGTTTTCCCTTTATACTCATAGGCCTCCATGTTCCAGCAATAGTTTAAGCATTCAGAAGGTGGCTTGTAGGAGAGGTTGCTGATTTTAGAAATCAAATTAAATGATGAAGAGCGTGATAGAGGTGGTATACAAAACAAGAAAGAATCGGGATACCGAGGTGAGATACCCAGCGATGCATAAGAAATAGTAATAATTTTATAAAATTTCATATTGATATTTATCATATGTACGATATCTTTTTTTTTTTTTTGTTCACATGATAGCATGTATTTCAATTCATTACCATTGATTTATATGTGGATTACACATGTAGTTGATTCCAATTTATATGATCGTTGGAAATAATTATGAAAATGTTCTTGAAATGAAGGAGAGTAAGTATTTTTAAGTCATATGTTGGGGGATAAGCCCGCACCAGTAAAGGCGAAAGACCTGAAGAGATAAGCCTATACTCTCAATTCTAGAAGTTGGGAATTTAGACCCAACCCTGAATTAAGAGAACAACGTATCAAGTGA